GCACAGGCGCGGACCGCAGCGCCGGCCCTCTCCCGCATGACCTCGGCGGGCTCCCAGCACGAGACGCAGCTCCCACCCACCTGCCGGTCCGACCGGCCAGAACACGGACGGTCGGAGCCAGCCTCGCCCCTGTTGCAGTTACCTCAGCCCTAGCTTTTAGTGTTACTGGAAAGCCCCGCAATTTTAAGTCAGCACGTCGCTACACAAATGTTCGCTCTTGCTACACCCCAACACAGGGATGAACGTAATTAACAGCATAACACGTGGTGATCCACACGCTGCGACAGTAACTCGGGCAAACAAATTTTCCTCCCACAAATACAAAAAGAAAAAGATTACTGACATCTTTAGGGAAGTTAGCTTTAAATTCAAGCATACAGATATGAAGTAAACAACTCAATATTGAAGCTCGTTTGCATCTATTTCGGTCCTTCACAGATCACCCAAGTTCCAGCACAGTGCAGAATTTGGTTAGCTCTTCAACTTTTTTCACAGAAAAACAGCATGTCCAGAGAAGGAAGAGAATTAATTCCAACTTACTCAGCGAACCACTCCTTTATTTTACCTTAGTTAAAGGCAAACTAAGTACAGATACTGTACATTAAAATGTATGCACATAGAAAGAACGGTTGTCCTTCATTCTACCTTAATGGCTCAAATCTCTACATTCTTTTATTCGGAGCCCTGTCCAAGCAATTACTCCTCTCCAAAACACGCTGCACCCACATTTAAATATAGAGAGAACCATCTGCAGGTCCCACATAGCCAACACCTATGAGGAGCACATCAATTAGTGTCCATATTCCGAGTCCACCAAAGCTGAAGAGTTTTCCCAGACCTTCCCGCCACTGGCCCAAATAGAAACGATCTGCACCAAATCCACCAAGGGTGATGCTGCAAGAATAAAAACATGATTCATTATTATTAGATGAACTCAGTTGGGGTACCCATACGCACTTCTTTCTGACATACCTACAAGCTGATAATAGTTTTGCTCTACATCATTCAAGAAACTATAGATTTCTTGTAGGAAAAGAGCTGACTGGGTTATTAAATGAGAAAGCTTTTGATTAAATAGTGCTATTTCTTAACTAATTAGTACTGTCCAGAGACTGGACAGTTTTTCATTTGTGACAAGCAATAAAACCAAAACCCCTCAACTTTATAAGTATCTCTGCTTTTCTCAGCTAGCAGAAGCTAAAAACCCCCAACAAGCACGGTACAGAAACAGACCCAAACACTAATTTCGGCCCGGTGCAGCAGCCACGCAACAGCGAGTCTCCCCAGCTGGTTAGTGGCAGAAAGAACAACTCTCACTATGGAGAAAAGTGTGTTAGATCACTTTCTTCATCAGTCTCTACTGTCCCTTCGGCTCCAGAAACAGAGCCTCACTACCTCATTTATCTTATTAACCACCTGTGAAATACTAAAATTTAATGGAAAAGGTCTTATCACCAACAGAACTTCAGTTACTTTCAAATTGCTATTGCACTGCTCTAATGGCTTAATATTCCAAAAATAATCTACATAGTTTCTTTCAATAGTGCTACACTGGTCTCTTCCCTAACAATCTAGAATGCAAGAAACTTCATCTCAAGGCATTTCCAGCTGTTACAGCTGGCAAGGAAGCCACAACAAATGTATCCCAACGACAGCCAGCTCAGTGACACCCATTGATGTCAGCAACAGCTGCGCTCATTTCAGGTGCCAAAAACTAATTTGGACAGTTTCCAGCCCTAACTGTTTCAAATATATAAAAAACCAGGAAAAAAAAAAAATTTGCAGATCTTTTGAGCATTTGTACCCCATCTGACACACCACACAGACTAAAAGCAAGCATGACCCCTCTACTCGGAAGATGGATCGCTTTGTGAAGCCTAAGAATCACTGGCATTTACTCTGAAGAAAATAGGTTTGATGCAGAAATAGTGTAAATGTTTTCTCTCAAGCTCTGTTTACTGAAGACAGCAGGTATCGTTGCGTATGAAACCTTCAGGCATCCTATGCCTCCCAATTCTAAGCCAGACTGTATGAAATAGTGGTTACTCAGTACACCGTTAAACACCAAGCAGAAAGCCACAGGAACTGAAGACTTTATGGACAATTAATCTGTTTCTAAGAATATTATCTATTTTAGCTTGACATTATCCGTTAGTTCTTGTGTACCTTAGCGCCAAGGCAGTAGACCATTTATAACCTCCAGTCCAGTTGCAATAGAGCATCTTAGGAAAGACACGATTACCTAAACATCAGAAAACATTCAAACCTTGATGTAGTAAACAAACACCATGTAACGAGTAAGGAAATGACAAAGCAAGAAGATACCACATTTCTCTGACAGTAAGTCTAAAAGGCTGGGCACTAACTGAAACAAACACTGCCAACACAAAAGCTCGTATATATTTCACAGTCCTCTGCTCCATCAACCTGTCCACCTCAGAAACCAGGCAAGGGCATTGAACAAGCTGGGGGAAACCAGCATGACGTTTTTTAATTACCCTACTGAGACATTTGATAGTGATTCTGTTAGTGGTGTCCAAATTAGTTTGTCTCATAGAAGCTGACAAAAATAAACCAGAACTATTGTCTCTCATGGGAAGGTATACAACAGTATTAAAAGCCAATGTTTACAGTCACTATTACGCTTGACACTATTATGACACTATTATGCTTAAAAACTAAAGAAATTCAATGTACAGGCTGCTACTGCAATAAACAATCATTGTGTTTACTCATTACAAAAAATGTTAAATTCTTTAGAGAAAAAGCTTCTTTGCAGAATCTGTTTTAGCCCCTTACCTAGACAGTGAATGTGATCCCGTACTGTACAAGTGGCATTGTATCGTTGTCGCGGGCAAGAAACCGTCATGCAGTTTGTAGAATTGGTACATACATAATCAGTTGTCGCAAGCTGCCAGCAAAACTGGCATGTCATGTTAATTGTAAAGTTCTCCTGCTCGTGGTGATTCTGATCCTGTAAAACGACAGCATTATCACATCACTAGAAATAAAAACCTCACAGTGTGCAGTATCAAATTACATTTCATGGGTAGACATTTGGGGCAAAATAACAACTACTCTCTTTGCTACCTCTGTGTAATCCAGTAAAACAGAAAAATCGGCATTAGAAAACCGGCAGAGTTATTCCAGCGCAGTTTAACTTCACTACTTCCTCCAATCGCAGGCTGCTGCCAAGAGGACTCGCTCAGTCTCACCTGTAAGACCAGCTTGTACCTCGGCAGACACCTAGCCTCCCCGCTCTCCAAACGGTTACATTTTGATCGGCCAACCAAGTGACTGAACTCCACTGCATGGCAGCGTGACAAGCAGACCCAACACAAGAAAGGCAAATGGGAGAAGGGCAGGTCTGCCTCTTCAGCAAGGGCCCACAGCGGAATGACTGAACGTACCACCCATCAGCAAACCTGCCCACGTAAGAACCTGGAGATCAATGTTTCTATTTTATTACAAGATGTCACAGTTTAACTACATGACTTAAATTTGGGTTTAAAAGTAACAGATTACTTACAACACAATGAACGTGTGGCTTGACTTTGCAATCAAAAGTGGCTGGCTTCCCATATATACAGGAATAGTTTGTGTTACACGTCATACAGTCTGGTGGCAATCTACTGCAAAACCCGTTGCTAGGACATTTAGTCACATAAGGTGGAATTTCTGTACTTTCTGAAAGGTTAAATATGTGAATAAAATTAAGCAAACGAGTAAAAAAAGGCATACAAAGTATATACAGACACGTTGTCCTTTATGCATCTATATGCACACACAGGCACTGACGCTGTACAAAGGGCTTTCCTCGGAGTGCAGCGACCAGCACGACACGGCTATGCTGCGGGAACCCCTGCGCTCGCCAACCGCACTCATACAGCACAGCATGGCACCCAGCAAGCACCTCGCCCATGTCCTGCACAGATCAGCACAGCGCTGGGACGGAGCTCGGCACGGATTAATGCCCCCCGCTGCCACCAGCATTTCTCAGTGCAAGTAATCGGCTTAGGTAGAGAAGCAGGTTGACCCACATAACCTACTTCTAGTTCAGGTCTAATTAAGTTTACAGCTAGCTCAGCCATTTGCAGTTTGTGTGTGTTCAGAATCACCTCTTAAATTACTAGCAGGATGCACCCCTTAGTAAGCCATAAAAACTGTATTTGTGTTGTACAGGGAGCAGTAACAAGCTCTTGCAGAGTGCTGGAGTCTTTCAAGAACGTCCACTGTCCTGAGAGGGTGTAAAATACGTGAACCACAATGGCAGCTTAACCGGGGTCTTCTAGCTGTAAGATGGGCCAATTTTCCAACAAAATAATCCAAACTAACTGTTAAGGTCATTGGAGAGTAATCTATGGTGTGCTGTACTATAATGTCTTTCACCACTGTGAAAGCACGCCCAGGTTCAAGACGCCATTCAAGAGCTTTGCTATTAAACTCCAGGCACGGAGGAACAAGGCCCACTGAAGAAAAACAGCACAATGTAATATTGTACCTGTGGCTTTAAAGTAAGGAGCGTTTGTACTCGTTGAAGTCAGACTTTTTGCAAACGTGGACTGTGTCTGTGAATGCTTTGTGGTCATCAAAGATCCTGCTACAAGGAAAGAAAAACAGAGAAGTGATATTTCTAGAACAAAATTTACCTTCCGAAACAGTTTGATTTCAGCACACTGGTATGAAATTACAACCGGCAAGCGTAACGAGAACTAAAAAAATACAAAAATCTGTTTTCGTGTTCTATAAACAGCAGAACTATTAAGCATTAAATCAAGCATTAGAACGGAATCGATCCTCTTAGACAAGGAACCACGCTTACTGCGGCTCAGCGTTGCTTTCGACTGCCAAGGAGGACACCGCGGAGCTCGCACCACGCCGTGCCGCTCCCGCACCGCACTGCTCCCGCACCACGCCGCTCCGCTCCCGCACCGTACCGCTCCCGCACCACACCGCCGAAGGG